CCTTGGGGCCCGCCCCCCGCCGCTGCAGCGGCAGCAGCTTGTTGATTCATCATCATCATCTGCATGTACTGTTGCTGGTTCATCGCCGGCGGATAGAACCCGCCTCCACCTCCTCCGCCGCCGCCGTTCACCGGCAAGCCATGAGCCGCCGGAAAATTTCCCATCGGGGCCATTGGGTGTTGGCCCATTGGGCCTCCAAAGGCTTTGTTGTCGTTGTGATTACCTTTGTTGCCTCCTTTGACTTGCTTCATGAGGTCGTTGACATTGTGGGCTCCACCGTTATGAGAGCTTTTGGGCCCACCTTTTTTAGGCCCATTATCGAAATGATGACCTCCACCGACTCCACCGCTTGATTTTACCTTATTACCCCCACCGCCTTCCTTGGTTTCCCCTCCCTTGTTTTCACTGCCCTTTCCACTTTTGCCCTTCTTCAAAAACCCTAGCAATAAAACATAAATATATTAATTTAAAATTAAATATATATACTTTCCCTTCCTTCATACCCTTCTCCCCTCCCTTTTTACCTTCTTTCCCATTTTTGCCCTTCATCTGCACCGGAATATCAAAAGCGCCATCGCCACCTCCGCCCTTCTTCTTTCCGCCGCCGTCTCCTCCGGCTTTCTTGCCGCCCTTGTTGAACTCGTTCACCATCATCATCATGTCACTGGGGCCTTTAGGACCATGGCCCATAGGGGCCATCTTGTTAGGCATCATCATTTGCTTGGGCAAGTTATGACCATGACCATGGCCATGGCCATGACCATGACCCACATCATCATCCTCATCCTCTTCATCATCGAAATCATCGTCGTCGAACTCGTCGTCGTCGAAATCATCATCGTCGTCGAACTCATCATCGTCAGCAAACTTGACAGATTTCTGCTCCTTGGGCATCTTCATGTCTTTGCCACCTCCATGACCATGACCAGGCCCACCATGACCATGGCCTTGCCCATTAACGCCCTTCATCATCATCATCATCTGAATCTGCTGAGGATTCAGCTGTTGCATCGGATGCCCACCTCCACCTCCACCTCCACCTCCACCTCCACCACCACCACCATTACCCTTCCCCTGGTGATTGTCTTTTCCACCCTTTCCCTTGCTCGTGTTTACCATTTTGCCACCCAAATTAAGATTATTTAACTGAGCATTCAGATTTGGTAAACCTTTTCCTCCGCCGCAAAGCTCGGCATGCTTCCCGGACTTACTGAGCTTCTTTATCAGAACCGCGGGGTCAACGTTCCCCATCACCGTCACTTTCCCCTGCTCCACATCTGCTTTCACTGAGTACACACCTAAATCCAGACCCCAAAAAACGCACCAAAATCAGTCACAGATTCCCAAAGTTTACAATTTTATAGCAGTAAATTTTCGGATTATGCGCATAGATGGCGATACCCAGTTAGAAAGTTTCAGACTTTGGATTCTTTGTTAATGGAAAATAATGAACTTTGATATGAGAAAATGACCCAAAGCTGGTTTAGAGGGAAAACCAACAACTAAAGTTCGAAACTTTATCTACTATGGTTGTGGAAGAACCATTCATTTCTATTATATATTATCTTCCTCTCATCTCTCCCACTGTGACTGTCCATTTCACTTCCTCTTCAACAATAATTCAGTAAGAACACACATTCAAAGTTCACCAAAAAAAAAACCCAAATTTGAAAAAGAAAAAAAACAGATTTGCAAAGAGTGTCATGGTAACATACAGGAAAAGAAGGATAAAAGTAAAAGACAGACAGTAAGAGCACACCTTCGATTTTCTGCAACAGCTTCTTTATTTTATGTTTACACCCATCACAGTGCACGTTCACCTTCAGTACACAAGTCTGCAACCAAAAAAAAAACTTGAATCATAAGCAAAATATACACACATGTACACTCGTGTGTGTGTGTGAGAGAGAGAGACGGAGAGAGAGGGAAACCTGAAGCTTCATGACATCTTGTTTATTCATGGCTTTTGGTTTCACGGCCACAAATCTGAAGATATTTTCTCTCCCTTGTTCTTCCCTTGGTTCCTTGTGTTATATATAGATAAGGAGGAATGCACGGAGAAGAAGATACTACAGGACGGTGTTTTTTTTTTTAAAGTCGGTCGTTGTTGTTTTAGGACAGTGACACTAAACCACACCACCAAAACCTTGTTTTGATGTTCTCTGTTTCATGGCTTCGTGTCTGAAACTGAGAGAGAGAGAGAGAGCGAGAGAGGGAAGAGAGAGAGAAGGCGGTCGCACAGGAAGCAATAAATCTCACCCTTTGATTTGCAAATATAGATAACAACGACATAAATAAATCACATCAAATATTTTATTTGCTGGGTTGGCTTTACAATTACATTTTTATATATATATATATTATTTTTTTTTGAAGGGTTTTATTTATTTATTTATTTATTTATTTGGATTCAAGTGTACAAAAGAAGCTGTCTTTTGCCTTTGTGCTATTTCGCTTGCAAAAGTGTGTGTACAGCTTTCGCTTTGGTACCTTTGGAACCGCGTTTCGTTGCACTCTATTGAACGCTTCTTATAATAATGTCTTCTTGAACATTATTAACACACATTAATCAGTGTTTCTTTATTTTAAGATTCGTGCAATAATAATACATAGCTGTATTTATAACATATAATATATATGTATATATATATATATATTCTAATGTAACCAGACTTTAAAATGTTCGACAATTTAAATCCGGAAAGTGTTGTGATCAAGGTGTGGCTTTACAATATAGTTTAAAAAAAACACCATTCGCTTTGCGCATACACAATATTACCAAATTAACAAAAATCATTTATTTTCACACTTTTATTATTGATCATATATTTCGTTTTAAATATTTAAAATGAATCGGATTTAATTAAATAAAACATAAATATATTAATTTAAAATTAAATATATATAATATTAGATGATTAAATTCCGAAAAAAAAGATATAATGTTACATAAAAATAATTTTAAAAAATAAATAGAAATATATGTTGGTAAGGTGTAGATAATAATGTAGACGGGCTTCCGACGGGTGCATTGGACAGGTTGGTCAGTGGCACTTTGTACTGTGTTTTGGTTTTCTTTGGTCAGTCTTCAACCACCATTTTACATTGTTAGTCCTTTTTTTTTAATTCCAATAAATAATAACAAAACCACCATTAATAATTTAATAGACAATTTTTATATTTAAAGTTTTTTATATTCTATTGGAGAATTATCAGCATACAATTACAATTTACAATTAAAGCTAAGACCACTTCCTCCGCATTATCTATATATACACATATTAGTCTACGCGAGTTTACAATATTAGTGTTATAAAATTGCAACATGATTAATTATTTAAATTATTTCACATAAAATAAATAAAAAAATTTATAAGTTTTTTCTAAATATATATTATTGATTGACTTGAGGATTCTATGGCGATGCACGTGATGCATGTGCACCGTAGTAGTTCACGGTGACATAATAAGTGATACAAACAATAAATACATTTAGTTTATTTGGTCAAACATTAATAGCCAGAAAAGTTTACATTATGAGTTGTTGTTGTTATTATTATTATTATTATTATTATAGATCCATTAAGTTTGTATATTAACATTTAGATATTTTAAGAGAGTTTTACTCTTTATTTAAATCATATTTCCTTATTTATTATATTTATGATTTCATTTGTAATTTGTTCATAAATTTTTAGTTATATAACGCCAATTAGTGCATTGATGGATATAAGCAACGTAATTAACTAAGATTCTCTCACCCTTGAGCTGCACTTAACTCACGTGACGACAGCTTTTGACTTTTTCTTAAACATAATTTGAATGTTTACTTTTTTTCCGACAACTAGAGTGATATTTTAGATGCATAAATACTCGTTATATTACACGGAAAATGACATAGTTACGAAAATCTAGAGTATAATTAACGCACGCATCAGATTATATAATGTGCGTGTAAGAAAATACACTTTTCAACAAAAAAAAAAGAAAATACACTTTTATTTTTGAGTAATGAAGGTTACATGTTTCAACCCAATCGGAATATGTCCGTAGTTATAATTAATTGATAAAGTTGACGTCTTTATCCCAAATCTCAAATCGTTTGAGAAAAAAAAAGATATAATTTAACTATATTAATATTGTCTTCCTAGGGTGAATACAGATCTCAAATATTTTTGGCGCTCTGTACAAAAATATTTATTTTTATTATAAAAATATTAAATTTTAAAATTAAATATTTAAATGTAATCTGATGATGAATTATATAAAAATATTAATTACATTAATTAATAAATTTAAAAGTGATTAAAAATTATAATTATTAATAATAAATACTGTAAAGATATTTTCTACCTGGACAAGGCTCATAAAATCTGATTTTTTATTATTTATTAAATATTAATTTTAAACTAATAAATTATCTTTAAAAAATTTAAATATGGGGTCCACTATATTGTGGGACAGTGTGATGAAGAACCAATGGAAATAAAAAAAGTTTGCATGTTTTTTTTTTTTTGTAACGGTGATGAGTATTACACTAACAAAATATACATCCAGTCACTGACTGTATTACAAAAAATTATGATGGAACCCATAACAAAATGGTCAAAACAAAAACAAACACAAACAACCGAAACAAATAGTAACTATGCCGGTCGTATATGTCGCGTGAGATAATACCAATCAGCTAGCAAAGAGACGCTATCATCAGAAGGTTCATGTTTGGCAGAGAATAGGATGTTTCGCATCGTGCGATCAACTTTCCAACGAATGAGTTCAATGGATCTTGACTTTCCACGAAAAATACGGTAGTTCCTTTCTCTCCAAATTTCATAGATAGAGACTTGGAGTAGTACCTTGACAATCTTTCTTCTGTTTCTCGAGGCAGCATGGTCCGGTCTGCTGAGCCACGCCAGAATCCCCACCAAATCGCTTGGTGGGTCTGCCCAACAAACTTCCCCAAAGTGGCGCCAAAGGTGGGAAGCATAGGTGCAGCCGAAGAACAAATGCTGATGGGATTCATCCTCCCCATCGCACAACCTACATGTTGCATCTGACGTGATTCCCCATTGCTGAAGACGGTCTTTCGTCGGCAGTCGGGACAACATAACCTGCCAGTGAAGGAAAGCATGCCTCGGTATGGCCAAGGGGAACCAGACAATGGAACTCCAAGGAGCGATAACATGTACCGTCCTGGTTAAGTTCCACGTCCTTGATGAGGAGAAATAGGGCCTGAAATCTTCTTCTTTGTATTTCCATAACGCACTGTCGGAAGGGCCATCGGGTGAAGGGGGCGGGATGGTGGAGATGTGTGCCAAGACCTGTTGTAGTCTATCTAGTCGTACACCTGGGAAAAGCCAAGAGTCACCTGCAACTGCTTGGCTAACCGAGGAGGATAAGGGTATCCGCAAGCTACGGGGACCAGTGAGTCCCACATATCGAAGCAGAGAACCGTAGATTGTCCATGGGTCCTGCCAGAATGAAGTTGACAGCCCATTTTCAATCTGAATTCTAAGGAACTTCCTTACTATATCCGTGATTCCTAATAATTTCCTCATATTCCAAGAAAACCGAGCTGATGGAGCTGTGTTCCAAACAATATATCATCAATTTTCCGGAACAAAGGGAGAAAATACACTATATATTCTATGATATTATTTTAATCAAATATATTCATGCGACAAATAATTCGAATTTCAGTTGTCAATGTGTAAACATATTGTGCTGGTCGGCACAGAAAATGGAAACGTGTTTCTCCCCGGTGGAAACCCTAAAACACCGAGTCCTAATTGGTCACGATAAATATTCAAAAGTCGGAGAAAAACGCAATACTGAAAATGATATCGGATTAAATAAAAAACAGCAAAAAAGTAGAAAAATTAAAGAAAATAATAATAAACATAACTTTAAATATTTTTAAAAAATATAAAAGCAAAAGAGAGAGAGAAAAAAGAGGTTTGGGGTAATCATTTTCAGATAGGTTTTGGACCGTTTATTCACATTGACTTTGATTAAAAAGCGTCATTATTTATGAAAATTTTCCATATGTTTAATTTTATTCCCTGGAATCATTCCGACACCATGAATGTTTACTGCCTCGTTTGCTATCGGGAAAATTCACTTTCCAAACTACAAAGCCAGAATTCATGGTAAAAATAAAAATAAAAAGATTGTGGCAGTAGTTTAGAATATACGATTTTTAAACCACAAAACATGATATATATTAGACGAGTATGGCATTAATATATATGCCTATAGTTTGTAATGCCCCTGATATTCATATATATATATATATATATATATAATTGTATGTTTTTATTTATTTAGGGTGACATTTAAAATTTTACACTGTCAATTAAAAATACAGAGAAAAAAACACGTAACGATGACATATTTTTCTCGTGTATTATATATATTCGAATTACTGATATTTACATATATATATATATATATATATATAATTGTATGTTTTTATTTATTTAGGGTGACATTTAAAATTTTACACTGTCAATTAAAAATACAGAGAAAAAAACACGTAACGATGACATATTTTTCTCGTGTATTATATATATTCGAATTATTTGGAAAATTCAGAGTTATTATCTGAATCATTATTTCCTCGTCAACTCGACACATGTTCACATGTGAATCAAATTACGTGTTGTTTTGACTGCTAATAGGCACGTGACAAATTTGTGTATGTGACAGTGACACGTGCATAATAAGCAAAAATAGGATCATGCAATGAGATAGATACATTATACACTACATGTCAAAATCTTATTGGCTAATGGTTGGATAAACTTCTCTACTATTTCTAGATTTTTTGAGGCATGACAATGAACAGTTTTTTTAAGGTCGGCGAAAAATTATTAGAATAAAATCAGAAATGCACTTTGAAAAAAAAAAGGGTAAAACCCTAAAAAAACATTCAATTTGTAAAAATATATATAAATAAATTTTCAACTTTAAAAATTGTCATTCAATCTCCGAACTTATAATCTGTCACTGAATAAAATCTCGAATTTGTAAATTATTACTCTAATAAACCTTTGACCGGTTTGACCACAATTTCAGACGATCGTAAATCTACGTATTAACGGATTGCTGATGTCATTTTTTAAATTAAAATTGATAACGTGTATAAGGTGACTTCAGCAATCCGTTAATACGTGGATTTCTGATCGTCTGAAATTGTGGTCAAACCGGTCAAAGGTTTATTAGAATAATAATTTACAAATTTGATGTTTTATTCAGTGACAAGTTATAAGTTCGGGGATTGAAAGATAGTTTTTCAAGTTGAAGATTTATTTGTATATATTTTTGTAAGTCGGAGATTTTTTATGAGTTTTATCCTAAAAAATTAGTAATAAACATTTAGGAAAAAAAAAATAAATAAAGAGAAAAATATTTCATACTAAATTCGAGGTCCATTTCCAAACTAGACCCCATTCCATTGTGATAAAACACATCTCGGTTTATGAAATATTTATTATGATACGAATCCTTCAATGATTTCATATAAAAAAGATATGATCAAATTGAAAGTGCTTTTGCTATGTTCCTACATGATTTTATAGGGGGGGAATTAGGGTTTCCTTTTTCTTTTCTTTTCTTTTTTTTGTCCTTTTAGTGCCACACGCAATCCAATAGTACAATTCAGTCTTTTGTTGACTAGTAAAAGATCGTAATTTATGGATCGGATCATCGCATGCATGGGGATTTTGGTGCACATGCCATGGCTGTCCAAATCAAACTGTGTTTACGACGGCCTGCTTTAATTTGGACCCTACTATAATCTTTTTTTACATATTTGTATATATTTAATTTTTGTTGGTCTGTAATTATTCATATAATCTCTATATATATATATATAGTTTACATATTGACGTGTCATGTGTTAGGTTTGATGTGAAGACCCTCGTGATTCATCAAAAAGATACGTTGTGGATGTGGGGACATGTCACGTATATGGTTTGTTTATTTGTTATACGTCGGAATCTCCCGTGATCTCGAAAATCAAATTCGTCAACTCTTTTGATTCTAATTACAAACTTTGAAAAATATCTATCTACATCCTTACGGAGGTAACAAGATCAATTAATATTATGTTACAAAATAACATGGTACAGTAGCATGGTTAGGCACGTATGCATGTGTATACATGCATACGTGCATGTACATACATACATACAACAGATAAAAAAAAAGTGCCATTGCTGAGGATAATTACAACTTCAGTATGTTAAAATAATTCATTAATTAAAGGAAAAAAAGGTTAAATTGGTCTGTCAAAGTGGGGATGTTAGATTTTAGATACGGAATAGCTTAGCCACAGGGGGAGACGTGGCAGAAGAATGGGTGGTTGAAAAGATGTGATTTGATTGGTTCACTATCAAAATTATTTTTATTTTATTTACAAATCAAATTTTAAATTCCCAAAAGGATTTCATATTTCCACAACACTATTAATACAAAATAATTATTTACATCTTTAGAATAGTATTCCATATGTCATTATATATACAACTACAATTTCCGAAATCACGACTTTTAGCAATAATTATACATCCATAAAATGTCAATTCTTTGCTAGACACCATAAAATCATGATGTTAATCGAATAATCAAATCAATATGAATAAGATATAATTATAGTCTAATTAAATCTTATATAAAAATTCAACGATTAAGAGTTTTTTAAATTTGAAAAATTAAATCCAAATCGAATTGAATTGAATTTAAAAATAATTGAAAAAGTAATTGTTTTTTAAGAAAATGATTTTTTATCAATAAAAATAGATTCTAAATATAATAAAAATAAAATCGAACTGAACTGATCCAAAATTAATATGAAATAGAATGGTTATAATTTTTTTATAACCCAGATAATATCATTAAATCCGAAAATAATCGAGAATCGAAATCCAAAACCACCATCCCTGACAATAGATGCCAATGACTCCAAATCCTAACTTTTGGTTAATTTTGTAAGAGAGTAAGAAATATAGGGCAAAAGTGAAAATAACAAATCCCGAGGAACGGAACACGCGCTTTATTGGGTTTGTGAAGACACGAAACAGATTTAAACACCTGCTTTAGTCCCAAAGTAACTAGGAGTATCCGACACCTCCCATATTCAGAATCTATAGCATTTTCACACACACACACACGCACACGTGTGTATATATACATATATATATAGAGAGAGAGAGAGAGAGATATTGCTTTTGTGAATTGGTCTTTGGTGTGAGTTCCGAGACTTTCTATCTTTTTTCTCCATCACAGACTTTTAATTTTGTCCCCTTACATACAGTTCCAACATTTTCCTCGGTGAGTTTCTGTTTTACACCAATGCGTATATGCGTATGTGTGTATGTGTATATATATATTATGTTGTGTTAGAGTGTATCATATACATGCGCATGTTGTATGGTTAAGCATTGAATGAAATGGGGTTTTTGCTTTTATTCCGAGTTGATGGATGGGATGTTGCAATTATAATATTCTCTGCACCACTTCTCCTTTCTTTAATTGTTTTGCAATTTAAAAAAAAAAAACCCACCGAGAGTCATTAAATAAGTATTGCCTTGACTGATGCACGGAATTCGAGCGTCTATGACCCTCATTTTTTTATTTGTAAATCTCAAAAATATGTTATTTTATACAGTATGTAAAAAAAAAATCGAAATTTTAATTATATTAAAAAAAATGAAATCTTACAATCTAATAATATTCTTTCTTTTGAGACTGGATCCGTTTAGGCCATACAAAACAATTTGGGCTTTTTAGGCCTTTTCAGTATGGGCTTCAAAAACGTGAAAACCCTCCGAATAAAATATTTGGTAAAAAAAAAAATAAAAAAATCACGAATCAGTATAACTGGTGGTACTAGTACATATAAACGGGTGTATAACTTTTTTTCCAGATAAAAAAATTTAAAATTCCGTATTTTATTGTTAAAAAAATAAGTGACATATATTGAAAAAATTGTGTATATGTTAAACACATATTTTAAACCGGACATTTGAATTGATTGCAATAGATAACTACTACATCGACAGATATGTGTATATATATATATATAGTTCATATGTTATTTCACGAGACAAGTATTTAATTGATGGAGAATGTGAAAGATATGGTTCCCATGGATAGTTGTGTATCCCTATCATTGTAAATGTATGGCATGATTTGTATACTATACTCGTATTTATATTGATATAAATGCTTCTAGAAACACTCATATTTATCATTCAGATAATCATGCAAAAATAAACATATTAGAAATATTATTTTCATTATTTTAAAATTGATATTTCGTCATAAAAAAATAAATAAATATCTGTTCTCTTTTAGATATTTAGATATTCGTTATCGTTTAAGAATTGGGCTCCTTTTTTTTTATAGATGGAATGCTAATATAATATGGTATATGTGGATTGCTTATAAATATATAATATATCTAACATAATTTTCGACGTATTATGTCTGCGAAGATACATACCACTATCCCCATTTTTTTATTCTTTTTTTATTTTTTGTTTGACTTTGGTAGATCTAAAGTAAACGAAGAAAGCATACAGAATTTGAATTTGAATTTGAATTTATATTTAATCATTTTTCGTATTAAACAACATCCTCCTCTTTGGGATAGACTTTTCTTTTATGTTACAATAAAATTTTAAAATAAATGAAAAAAATGGCAAAATTTATTGCTTTTATAGACATCCCACCAAAAAAAGTGATCTGGTAGTTTTTTTTTTTTTAAAAAAAAGAGAGAGTGCAGCTAAACCGGTAGCCGAAGCGAACCGCTAGTCGAACCAGCCGTACCGACCGGTTGAACCGAACTGCCTTCGCCGTTCTTATTGGTTCCTCTCGGCGATTGAACCGACGAATTTCTCCACAAGAACGATGGGTTTCTAAGGATAGCCCACCGGTCCGGCCGTACTGAATCACCGGTTCCACCCAATTTAATCGATCCTTCTTCACGGGAGTTCCTCCATAGAAACGACGGCGTTTTGCGAAACAACCACCGGTCAGACCGAACCTTTAACCGGTCAACCTGCTTACCTCTCCTCGAGCTCCCTCCCCTCGGAAGAACCACGAGGCTATTCGACCGGTTCATCTTCCAATTCGCCATTATCCGATTCCTCACATCCTCTGGTAACCGGAGGGTAAACCGCTCGGTATTATCCCCCGGTTGTACCAGCGAATGCCCCGTGGTATGCGATCTCGGTAAGTTCACACATGGACGATCCGGTTCGGGCACTACAACTGTCGACACCGGTACGGTCACTTCCTCGCGTTGAGCCTCGATGTCCACCCCGACAGTCTCTAGTTCTTCCGGTTTGATCTCCGGTTCAGCTAGATTGGTGCGGCAAACCGGGCAGGTCACGTGACCCTCGAGCCAGGCATCGATGCAGTGAGGGTGGAACACGTGATCGCATTTCGGCAACAGACGCAGCGTTTCGTCGTCTTCGAACTCGTTCAAGCAGACAGCGCACTCCAACGCGCCTTTCCCGACCTTGAGCGTCTTCACCTCCGAGTACACGAACGTGGGGAAAGTCTCGATGACCGACACGTCGAGCCCACGCACCGCTGGCGGAGGGGGGGTTGCTGGCGTCGAGGGAGCGGGTGCAGTGGCGGATGTAGATAGAGGAGCAGCCGACAAAGAAAAGTACGGCGATTAGGACGACGACGACCACCGCCAATACCGGGCTGACCTTACCGTACTCGTACGGATCGTTTCTCTGGTCGGATTGACCCGCCGCCGGCTTCGCCGTGGATAGCAGGAGGAGGAGGATCACCGGGAAAACGCCACCGGCGATCGAACCCTTTACGCCGGAGGTCCACATATCTCCAAAAACCCAGAGAATATGAAAGCTTTTATTTTTCGGAAATAAATATACAAAGAAAGAAGTTTCTCTGAGGGAGAGGAGAAGAAGGTGATGTTTATATGGGAGGTTCTCGTGGGGGAGGAAGGGAGACAGATTGGAAGGGTCGAAGAAGAATGGGATTGTGGGACCCAGAGATGGAGTGATGACGTCATCCCATCGGTCATACAATGAGTGCCACGTGGACTTGAGAAACTTCGAACGCGTCGGGCAAGTGAAGGTCTTTTATTCTTTTTTTTTTTTTTTTTTTTTTTTTGCGCGGTTGAAAGTCTTTTTTACTTTAGTTTCTTGTAAATGTTACAATAATTTGAAAAAAAAAAAAAATCACAAGATTCTGCATCCATATTTGGATCGCCGATGTTTTTTCTGCAGCAATGCGTTTGGAAATTATTTTCTAGCTAATTAATTGCTCTCACGTATAATAATTATAATTGCATATTACGTACATCTCAAATCCAAGTGGTTGGATGCTTTAAATAAAATGTTGAAAAAATAATTTACTATCGAATTCTGTGAAATAATTTATCTATTTATGGAAAAAGAATTCAAAGTTCAATATATCTTGATGGAATAAATTTTCACATTTTAAATATTGTAAACATATATTATTGTTTCATACAAAAATATTGAAATGTTTAATTACACTGTTGCTCAAACATCAAAATGATTATATAATACTTATACTAGCAATCATTGGACTTCTAAACCTTGGTTTTATTTAATTATTAACTCATAATCAGCTATAACGTATATATATATATATATACGAGGAATTATGCTTGCCATGCAAGGAAAAAATGCAAAGTCGGTAAACCTCGACAAGAATCGGATTCTCCAATGACTGCAAAAGAATAAGTAATATTTCTATTGGAGAACAATTAATTATTACATTTCTATAAATGAATAAAATTCTGTATCCGATATTGAGTTTAAAATAATAATAGTATCGCTTCGGATAAAACAAACATTTCATTTTTAGTTTTATCAATTTCGGACCGTTATTTGGTCTACTCAATGGAGCGTGTAGCCGCCGCCGCCGTGGACCCATGTGTTTGTATTTATATATATATATATTAAGATATAAATCTATACACACAAATACGTATATTTTATATTGTGCGAATTGGAAAAAATGCGGTCACATGAATAAAATTGAAATGTGACAGATGAAACGAAAAGTAGTGCATCTACAGAATTTAACATTTTAAGGGATGTGGAGCGTGGACAGATGAAATTTAAATTTGGGAGTTTATATATTATAGAAAAAAAAAGATGACGTGGAATTTTATTTGCTTATTTGGCTTCTGAATACTAATCACAGAGCTTCTAGATTGAGAGAGTTTACTTTCAACGTCCATTGTTTATATCACTATCGCATTATTATAGTAATTTAACATTTCCTTTTAAATATAACAATTTATTCTCTCTCGTCACATTTGGTCAAACGAGAGAGGCTGACTTTGATTTATCCTGTCTTCGTCTTCTTGGTCTCCTATCAACCGTTGAATGGACCACATCAGCATGACTTCCGGGGAGAAAAACATCGCGCAGTTCTCATTCGGAAAGGAAAACGTCACGCTTTCCCACAGCCTTTCGTTTCCGCGCGTAAACCTCGTGCCGTTTCTGGTCTGGGAATAGAATGCTCTTCCGTTTCGTGGAGAACAAAGTTCCTTGTAGAGAAGGCTTCAGTAGTCTTGGGACGAAACTGCATATCTTTAGTTTCCAAAAAATTGTTTACAAGGCGATATGCATTTTTTTTAAATGACGAATCCGCGATTAAATCGCATTTCATTGATTACCATAATTGGCATATTAATTTGTTCTTTTTTACCAACAAAAATAAAAAATTATGGTGATCAAATAAAATAAAGAATAATGAATTTGCCAAAATCACATACGATAGATCAAGACAGTTTTTTTTTTTTATGGATTTACTAATATTACAAAACCAAAAACTCCTTTTGGTTTTTAGATCTCAAACCTTAAAATAAATTTACAAAATGTTAATTGTCAAATTTATTTTTAGTTTTTTAGATGCTAAAACCTCCAAAAAAACTCCATCCATTCATCCCTTACTTTCATCAAAAGTGAAAACCGTATTACTTTCACTTTTCATTTTGTGGGATTTGATTCAGACAAAAACCTTAGTCTTGTTTTTTTCCCTCATGCAAGAAAAATGACTTCATGCTTTTATGAGACGGTTTTGGGATTAATTGATCGATTGTAACAGGAAGCCGGAGTTGACTATATATTTCTTTTATTACAAAAAGGTCTCTTCTCTTTTATTTTCTCTCAGTTTTTACCCATTCTATCTAATTGTTAGTTATGCCCCCACACGAAGATGCTAGAAATAACAAGAGCAAAACCTGTCCATTCCTTTTTGGAGGCTATTTAATTAAAAAAAAAGTTTGTTTCTTTTTCTTTACTTTTCCTCCCTCATCCAACTACTAGCAATGCTCACCTACCTAAACCCTTTCATGGAACATGTGGAACAAAAAAAAAAAAGATTCTAAATAGATGGTAGACAAAATAATATCAATAATAAAATGAATATGTTAGGAGAAATTTTGTTTCGATTCTAAAAGACCATGCAAAAGCATATTTTCATCTTGGATTTAAATTCAAGCGTGGAGATTGATATTCACCTGGGTTTTTCCACTCTTCTAAGAGAGATGTAGTCGGGTCAAAGATCTGATGAACTTCCGGATTATAAAAAAAAAATTGTTTCAATTTTGTAGTTTGAATGGTTTGTGTTGAAAGCCATATGACTCATGAGTTCTAAATTGGATAAAGAACAAAGATAATAAATTTGTAAAACTATAATTTCAGCTAATGAGTGTTCACACAATAACTATATCGGTGGTCGAAATATAATTGACAAATTAAATCAGGTAATACGATTAACGGATTCAGTTAGAGATTGCAAAATATCTTAAATTTGATTCGACAGCGAATTATATTTAGAAAAAAATGTTTTTTTTTACATTCCCAATCTTTTTTTGACACAAAGCGCCATTGGGATATCTTGTGATGTGATTTCTGCAAATGGGAGGTGGCTGCTCTTCTCTCTCTTCCTCCTCCTCCTCTCCCATTGCATCCGCTCTCTCTATTTCCTCTCATCCCTCCTCTTTCCCACCAAAATCTACACCGTTCTATTTCCCTGGTTTTTCAGCAGCCCGTTTTCACAACCCTAGAAATCTCTCGACCCATTTGAGAAATCTGACGCCTTTGAGGTCTGGGAGAGCCCTGGAGATGGAATTACAGAAGCCCGTGTTCGAAGTCGATAGGTTTGACGATGAACTTGTTCAGAAGATGGTGTATGATGCTCTTGTTTGGTCCTCCCTTCATGGGCTTGTCGTTGGTGACAGAGGTTCTGAGGTCGGTGTGCAGAAAAGTCTTGTCTTTTTTTTTTGTCACTTTGTTTGTTTGCCGAGAAAATGGAAGGAAACTATAATTGCTGGGATTGTATGTTGTCTCGTTCTTGCAATTGGTAGAGAAGCCTTATGATCTTCACTTGTTTCCTGTTGATGTCGGAGAAATTTCTAAAGGGTTTCTCTCGTATTCGGCTCATTATCATCATCAATGTGATTCTGTCATCGTTCTGAATTGTGTTCAGCTTATGATCGTATCGTATTTTCCCATACGAATTGGACAGTGATTGTGATCGTTAGTTTCTGAATTATGGAGCTTACGTTAACAGTTGGTCTGATTCATTTTCAGCTCATGATCACTTTGACTGTTGATTCTATTTTGAATTCTGGATATCAGTTCTGTTTAACTGATGATTGTTATGGTTCTGTTTTCCTCTATGATTTGTTTCTAGTTTGTGTTCATCATTGATATATGGCTTAAGTTTGATCATGTTTTGCTTACATCAGTGGACTGTTTCACCGGTTGATACATGGCCGAGGTTACAGAGCTACTTAAGAAGAAATGGTCAATAGGAGAGTAATGTGGTTTTAGTAGAATTGTGACATTGGTATCGGGTTGATTTCTGATTGCAGAAATCAGGAAAAGTACCCGGGATCGGGTTGGTGCATGCCCCGTTTGCCTTGTTACCAACACCATTCCCTGAAAGTCACTGGAAGCAAGCATGTGATGTAGCTCCCATTTTCAATGAGTTGGTTGACAGAGTTAGCTTGGATGGACAGTTTATACAGGATAGTTTGTCCAGGTCTGATCTCTCTCACATCTTTTCGTCTCTTTTGCAAGTTTTTAACGATATCGGTTTGATTATGAACCTTACCCTATATTTCTTTTATGCTGCAGAACAAAGAAAGTCGATGCCTTCACATCTAGACTTCTTGACATTCACTCCAAAATGCTAGAACTCAACAAGAAAGAGGTATGTGGTCGCTCCTCTTCAGTCTTTGATAGAGTAGTAGTTGTTGCAGCCATTCCCTTGGTAGTTGCATCTGTCCATGTCTGTGATCAAAGAAATATCTCATGTTTTTCCTTTGTTTCATACCCAGGAAATACGTTTAGGGTTGCACCGGTCCGATTATATGCTCGATGAAGAAACAAAATCACTACTTCAGATAGAGATGAATACTATTTCATCCTCGTTTCCGGGCCTTGGTTGTCTTGTCAGCGAGCTACACAGGTTGAGCTCTCTTCTGAATTATCTGGTCAAGCTTTAGATGGTAGAATCTTATCCGAAAAAGCACAATGTCTTTTCCTCGCAGTACCTTGCTTCGGTATTACAGGGATGACCTGGGGCTTGACTCAGAAAGGGTACCCAGAAATGCCGCCGTAAGTGGATTTGCTGATGCATTGGCTAAAGCTTGGACTGTGTACAACAATCCAAGGTTAGGTTTAGCTGAAAGAAAAAAAACCGATCTTTGATAGGAGATAATGCAAGAATCAAGATTGAAAACTCCAGTTGCAAAAGTGAAATCTGTCTGAAACTTGAAAATCTTTTCGCTTCAGGGCTGTAGTCATGGTTGTGGTGCAGCCACAAGAACGCAACATGTATGATCAACATTGGTTGTGCAGCGTATTGAGAGAAAGATATCCTTTCCTGATTTCCTCCGGTTTCTTTGCCATTTTTCTTTGCTTTAAAAGTTATTTGCTTTCATCTAAGAACTCGTTGCTTCCTTAGCTTCAAAACACGCACAACATTGTATCTATCAGGAAGACTCTAGCAGAAGTAGAAGAGGAAGGACAGATTCAACCTGATGGGACCCTCGTTGTGTAAGTAAACCACTTTTCTTTGGAATAGATTTACGGGGATATTTCTGTGTTCATCATTCTTCACAGCGAAGTGGAAACGTTTGATCTTGCAGTGGTGGCAAAGCAGTTTCAGTCGTTTATTTCAGATCTGGTTATTCACCCACTGATTACCCATCCGAAGCAGTAAGAAAGCATATTCTTTTCGGTTATTCTACTTCCGTACATGATTTTTTCACTGGAAATATTCAGATTCTATTTTGTTTTTTCCACAATTTGAAGGAGTGGAGTGCTAGGACACTTATAGAGCAGTCATCGGCTGTGAAATGCCCGTCTATAGCTTATCATTTAACCGGCACAAAGAAGATCCAGCAAGAACTCGCAAAACCGGGTGTTCTTGAGAGGTGAATAAGACTCTATTGAACTGTTTTTTGAGATATTCGTAATGACTGGCCAGTTTGCGTTTCTCAAAGGATAAGACTTTTTCGGTTTCTTTTTGCACGTGAGAAACAGGTTCCTCGACAATGAAGAAGACATTGCTAAACTGAAGAAATGCTTTGCCGGGCTATGGAGTCTAGACGATCCAGAAATCGTCAAGAAAGCAATCGAAAATCCCGAAACGTTCGTCATGAAGCCTCAGAGAGAAGGCGGAGGTTGAATCAAACCCTCGATAAATCCCCCTTTCTTCACTCCTCCATCTTCACCCTATCATGGAACTCCTAATTCTTGGATTCTCCGTTGTTCTTTAACTTCAGGAAACAATATCTATGGAGGTGATGTGAGGGAAAAGCTTCAAAGCCTGCAGAAAGAAGGAAACGAAGAAAATGCTGCTTACATTCTGATGCAGAGAATATTCCCAAAGGTCTCGAGAACGTTCTTGGTGCGTGAAGGCATTTACCGCAAGGATCAAGCCATTTCAGAACTTGGAGTCTATGGAGCTTATCTCAGGTTCTATATCAATCTCTATGTTCAATACACTTTCAATGTATATACCTACAAAACAACAGCCAGTATGCTATAGGCAAACAGCCAAAAACCAGAAAGGCACATAGGGTTCAGCTAAAGCCAAAACCCCAAAAAATTGCTTATATACCCAACATTGAAAGCTATTTGAGAGTTGAAAAAAAGGGTAGACAGTTTAAAAAATAAAGTCTTTTTTAAAATCTGTAATCTTTGTTCGGTTGGTGATTGTTCTTGAAACTGGGATATGCAGGAACAAGGACAGAGTGATAATAAACGAGCAGAGCGGTTACCTTATGCGCACGAAGGTGTCTTCCTCGAATGAAGGAGGCGTAGCAGCTGGTTTTGCCGTCTTGGACAGCATTTACTTGACCTGACTGATGGCTGACACAGAGAATCTCCTCCTCCATGTTTTCTGCTGTTTTGTTTTGGCTGTTTCTGTATCATCGTACATTTGTAAGATTTGATTGTTTCTTGGAGCAAACAGGAAAAGCTTCATTGTTCAGAGAAAGCCCATGAAATCAAACTAGAGGTTTTCACAATAAACAGGTTGTAATCTTGAACTTGCCATTACAAAGTTCAAAACTTTACGCATGGCGATAGCCTCCATGAACTGGAAAGGCAGTTTCTTTACAAACACTTTGCACAAAGCTACAAAGACTAAGAGAACTAGAAAGCTCGTAGTACATGCGCTCATGTCTGAATAATTTTTCTCCTCGATGAATCAGCAACACTGCCCATTGCATTCTTTTCCGTTCTCGTCTGAATCCGTTTGCAGGTTTGCTCCTTCTTCTTCCTCTTCCTCCTCTTCTTCTACGGCCTCATCCTCGCATTCTTTATCTGAATCTGTGAAATGATCGAAAAATTGACCAAAGTTCCACAGAGAATGCTCATTCCACTCGCCTTTGTGGGCATGAACCCGCCATTTCTGGTCTGCGATCATCTCTGGGGACAGGCCCCACGCCTGTAACTCTTCCTCCGAGTGATGTATAGCTAGACTGTACTCTCCTCCGTATCCCGACTCCATTACCCTGATCTCACTGTTCCCGGGATTGTTCAGCCCCTCGAACTGCTCCACCGTCCACTTGAACCATTTCATCAGAAAGACACGAGAAGTTAGGCCGTGCGAGACGATTACTAGGTTCAGCTCGTGTGTCGGGTCGATGTGCAGCCTGTTCATGTCGATGTCTCTCCATAGAGACTCGAGAAAACCTGGCAAACAAAACAACCAGAAGATCAAATTTGTGTTCTGACATATTGTTCATTCAACACTGATTTTCGATGGCTTCACACATTAAAAAATGATGAAGAAGAAACAGTTCACATGATCTTAGTTCCATGGAAGAGAAATGAATCTTCCTTCTTTGTGATTGACAAATTCATAGGCTTTGCTAGTTTTACCAAGCGAGAATCATCTAAATCATTCCCAAGGACAAGTACTGAGAACTTCTCTTGTTCCGTAGTGTCCAAATGATCATAGACAAATCGACATTCTGTAGTAAAACGACAAAAATTCCAAGAAGCAGAAGAGTCGTAGAACGTACTGGAGACGCGATCGAAGACGTCGGCGGCCGACTCGCCCTCCGGGAACCTGTAGAAGAATCGACCAAACCTCTCTCTCGCCATTTTCGTCGCTCTCATACGCTCCTGAACCTGGAAATTCCCGAAATCCTGTTCCCTGATCCGACACTCCTCGCGGACCCCGATCACGCGGCGGCGCGAGAACGACCGACCGATCTCCCGGAGAGTCGATCGCGTCCGCTCGTACGGCGACACGTAGAAGAACAAGCGCCACTCCGGCGACGACGCGTTCGACGAGATCAGCGCGTGGAGTCGCGCCCCTGCCTCACGCGCCTGGACCCTTCCGCACTCCGTCAACGGGATCTTGTTGTCCGGCGTCCTCGTGTACGCCGCCGTGTCCAGATTCCCCTCGGATTCGCCGTGCCGTACAAGGATGATCCGCTTCGGAAGCAGCTTGTTGTCGTGAATCATGGAGGAAAATGTCGGTTTTTTCCAGATTTTCTAGGAAACTGAGAAATGGGTATAGAAATTCGGATCGAATGGGAAAATGGGCTTTCGAAATTTTCGGGTCGAATCAGTTCGATCGTCGTGCTTCTTTCGAATCTACCCCCGCTTTCTTCAATTTGCTGCTTACGCGTTACCTTCTTGCTTACGCTTACCACAAAAGAGTAGTTACAAATAAATTTCGTATGTAATAATATAAAACTTTTTCATTAAATAACTTTAAATTGAATTAAAAAAAATATTTAAAACTCTCAACAAAGGAAATTACATGATATTTATTTAATTTTACACCAATTCCAATTCCATACGATCTTTTTTTTGCTTCGTTCATCCATATCGGCACGAATCCTTGACACGTGGCAAGGTTATTTTTGGTAGAACTTAAATGACTAAATACTTTACAATATAATGATATCCACGTCGCCTCCATTCCACTATATTATACCCAGCTTTTATATACATATGCATGTATTCAATTCGAATATGATTTTAGAATGTTCGAACGTGGCGTTCCACTTATCACGTTTGTGTAAATTATACATATGGACACCATGCAATTGAAACTGTTATATACAAAATGGAAATATACAATCTTTTTTCGATCTTCAAAAGCAATAGAAAATACTATCTTATTTTTTTTATATTATATTATTTTATGAATATTTATATTTATACATCTATAATCTATTGAAGAAAATTAGTAAAAGAAGCTTGAATTTCTTCGAGTGTCCTGCCTTTGGTCTCCGGCACAAGCGCCCACACAAACAAAACCGCGACTGCGGTCACAAACGCGAAAATCAAGAACGTTCCTGCCAAAAGCATTCAATATTTCCGGAATTACCATATTACCCCCTTCCCTTCGTTATACGGCCTAGTAAACCGGAAATCGGTTTGGACTCGTTGTATCCGTTTGTGAACCGGTTTTGGTAAACACTAACCAAACCTCAGCTCAGATAGCAAGATTGCTGTCCGGTTTCTTCACTTACCGAACATATACAATTTTCCAAGAATATATGCACGTTCACATATACACACGTATACGTATATATACGTAAGAAAATACGTACCTGCCGTATTCCATTCAAGTAGAAAATTGAAACTATACGCAATGATCCATCCGGTCGACCAGTTAGTGAAAGTCACGAGACTGCCAGCTGAAACTTTCAGATTGATTGGAAATATCTGCGCATTTAGATATGATTTAAATACAAATTAATTAGGTCTTAAAACCACTAATCACCGATTAATCACATCAACTATTGAGATTAGGAGTTTGTGTTAATTAAAATAAGAACATCAAATAATTCTTCTGTTACCTCAGACATTATGATCCATGGTAAGCCTCCCATGCCAATTGCGAAGGTAACGATTGATCCCTGGTTTGGTATGATTTAAAGAAAACTTGTTAACCATTGCATAAACCGGGTTAAACCAAAATGTATAATCAGGTTTAGGATGTACCAATACGCCAATGAATGTGAATATGGGAGTCAACTCTTCCAATAGGTGAAAGTTCTGATGTGAAAAAATAAATAAAATGAAAATAAAAGAACTGATTAATATAGAAAATTAATGAGAACCGGTTAATCAAACGGTTAAACCGGTTAAAGGATTTTCAAACGGTTTTCATATGAACGATTGAATTTACCTGCAAGGTGAAGGAGAAACTCAACAGGAGGGAAAACAAGAACATTGCGGAAGCCGAAAACTATAAGAATATATTTCAGCACGTTAATTGAATCAGTAGCCGATATCGAATCAGAAAATCGATGTTCCGTTAGCTAAACCGATTTATTAGGTTAAATTTGAGAAAAAGGATATAACTTTATTGGTTAAACGTACCATAAGAAGAGGACGACGTCCCATTTTGTCGACCAACATCAAACCCATCAAAGATTTCGGTAACTTCAAAAACAAAAATCGAAAACCAATTCGAAATCACATGTCGGTCCAAAAAGATTCTAAACCGAATTGAGTAAACTCAAATAGAATACCATGACGATCGCTAGTATCATTGTTCCGATGCTACTCGGAAAACCTAAACATGAGATTAAATAAACATTTCAATATATATAATAATTATACCGATTTTTATACCAATTTCGAATATAAAATTCGAAAAATAACCGAATTCATAAGTTGGATATGGTTACTAACTGGCTCTTTCGAGGATAGAACTCGCGTAATATGTCACACCGGTACTTCCCGAAAGCTGTTGCAGAAGCATTAGACCGATTCCGACCTAAACCCATAAACCGAAAAATTCGACCAAAAAAATAACGATATATGAATTATTCATCTAAATAATAATGATTTTGGATAAGATTGATGATCGAACTAAATACTTACTATAACTGCGTGAATGTATCTTCTTTGAAACAAGTCTAGAATTCCACTTTTGGGACCTTGTTCAGATGCTTCAACCATTTCCTAAAACAGGGAAAATCGGTACAATGCTCCGATTTTGGTTTAGGGAAATCGATAGAACACAAACCGGGTGGAGAATTTTGTGTACCTGAATGGCTTTCACCTCACGGGAAATATCGGTTTCTTGTCCCCTAAGACGTTGCAATGCGGATTTGAAATCTTTTTCGTCGTCACTCTTCGCCTGGGAATCGGTCAGGCGAATCGGTTTGTACGATCCACTAAATCGAAAACCAACCGGAAAAATTTTACGGTTTAGGATGAAAATGTTCGTGAATAGGACGTACCAACCACCTAGGTGACTCAGGGATGAAGAATAAACCGGCGACTTGGAGAACACAAGGAACCGAACCTGAAGAATTGTGACTATTCCAAATTTAGTCCCCCAATTTTGAAAACGTACAATTAAGTCCTAAAATTAAAAATGTACCATCAAACGCTTACAAAGAATTGCCAATTTACGCCATTCGATTACATTTCCGACAATATATGCAAACGACAGCCCACAATTTTGCAGTAGCTGCAAAAAAAATATTTAAGAACAAAATCTTTTAAATGGATATAATTAAAATATACCAATTACTATTTGATTAATCTCGTGTTATTGTGTTATAATAAACCTGGTTAGCAAACACGAAAGCTCCTCGTACGTGTTTCGGTGTGATTTCCGCTATGTATATAGGTATCTATTCACATAAAAACCAAAAAAATAATTAATTTTATTTTCATCCCACATTTTATATTATTGAAATTTTTTATAAAAAAAATTGCAATTTGAGTTAAGGTGTAAGCGAAGCGGCCGACAAATTGAAAACCATTTGATACCTAAATCAAACATCGAATTCAAAATTCTGATTTTTTTTTAACAATTATGATATTTTGATCTGTACAATACAATTCACATTTAGATAATAAATATTCGAAAATCATGTTTAGAATTTTAGATTTTTTTACGAATTAAAAGTTTGACGGCATAAAATAAAAAATTGTGAAAAGAAAGAAAAAACAAAAAAGAGTGCCAAAATCAGGGGGAATAGACATTATACCACATAGCTAAAGATTCCAGTTCCGATTCCCAAAGAAAGCCTCCCAGCATCTAGCCACCAAGATTCCTATAGAAACAAATATCGGTAATATATATATATATATATATATATATAGAGGTATAAACTTTTGTCATAAGAAATTTTGTTTACGTGGCAAAATTAAATTAAATTAAATTAAAAATATCGTACCTCGGCAAAGGCAATGGTTAACCAACCCATGATGCAAAATATTTCCGAAAACCACATGGCCTGCAATAATAATAATAACAATAATAATAATAAACACGTTTTGGAATAAAAGCATGGTCGAGATGCATGGACCGTTGTTTTATAAATCTTAAACCTCATCAAACTATCATCTATATATCTTTTTTTGCTAAACCATACATATATATATATATATATATATATATATATATATATATATATATGGTGAATAATAAAGGGGGAAAAACATAAAGCATACATTTTTGCGGCCGAGAAGATCAGCGACCTTGCCGCTGAACACTGCGCCTATGATTCCACCGAATGTCATGATGGACCCAAACACTGAGTACTGTTTTTTTTTTTTGTGTAATTATTCAATTACATTATAAATTGACGAAGATATTTCTTAATTAACAATATCATGTAAGACCAATAATCACATATTATCCATATATATCATTATGAGATTACGTCAGCTATGGAGAATTTCAAGTCCCTCATGATGCCAGATTGAGAAGCCGACGAATAACCCACCTGATAAGATTATTATCATTATTATTATTTTTATAAAATTATTATTATTATTACATTTTTTTTAGATTTGAATTTGATTTAAGTATCTAGTGATGAAAGGATTTATTTTTTTAAATGTCAAAAACTCGATTAATTAATTTGGAGGGGAAGAAGAAAGAAAGAAGTGTCTTACAGAACAACCGGAGCAGAAGGAACCAAAGACGGAGACCAAAGTACTGAGAACAACAGCAGATGTAATACGACACTCTCCATCGTCGTTTTGATTCCCCTTTGCTTCTCTCTCCAACAGAGGCTTCTCCTCCATCCCTTCTTCCATCTTCTTCCCCATTTCTCCTCCTCTCTCGTCGAAGTTTACCCCTCCCCCTTTTTTTTATAAACCGCACCACCACTTTCTTAGTTAATTTAATATAAAAGTACCAAAAATTATTTTACATATATATATATATATATAATAAAGCCTTTTTTAAAAAAAAAATTATTGTTATAAGTGTGACTCATCATAGGGTTATCCTGTAGCAATCGTCTATGATTCTTCCAAGTTTCACCTACGAGGTTGTCTTCTTAATTAATTATTTTACTAATGATGGTCCAATGGATGTTAATCTCATAGATTATTGTAAATTTTGGTCCTTGTTGCAGATTATGTTAGATCATCTACTTTAACCTTATGGTAATTCTAATTAAACGAGTATATAAAAAAATTAATTAGCTACGAAAAAAGTTTTGGATACCGATTTATTAGTTGTATAAGGTTAAAAACACTCCGAACTTGATTCGCATTTTTTTTTAAAATTTTCTATTTTCCATACCATTATATACGGGATTTTTATATTGATGCATATAATCGTAATATCATATATATATATATATATAGCAATTTGGGAAATATCAGAAAAATGTCCAATTATTATATAACTTGCTTTCTATTTATTTTCACTTTAGAAGCCAATTATAAATGTGGGAGATTGCCGAGGCAGGCGTATAAAGGGACAAAATCCCACATCGGAGGTTTTCAAAGTTTGCTCCCCCAGTGTCCTCCATAAAACAAGGATAGGGGCTCTCGACCCCCGTCATCCCGTCCTGTCAGGGGGTGAAGGACGATTCGCCAATGATCGTATAGAGACGACGAGTCGTGCCAATACCTAAAGTACTGACATGCGAACTCAATCAACGAGGCGAGTGGGCCCAGCCTTACTTTTGGTTGGGCCGGCCCGCCAATTTTTGGAAGCCTCGATTCTTTCGAGGCTCTAACGCCCTTTCCCTCAAACTACACATTATACAACAAATCTATAGCATATATATATATATATATATATAATTGAAAAAACATGTAATGATTAGGAGCCAAGTTTAACTTAAACATACAAGAAATCATTATATTAAAATTGTAATGATAGGTGGTCATATTTTTTTCCCCGAAAGTTTCTGCACGATTATAAATTTGTAATAATAATAATTCCACTAGCAACGAATACAAACCAGAATATGTGTGTGTGTATTTATAACGCACTTTTCATAAAATAATTGTACTAAAATTTGAGATCTTTTGAAGAAGTTTTTTTTAGGAGTCCACCATCATCATCACACGTCTCCACCTTGTTCTTTTCAAATATAAATAATTTAATTGATATAATTTTTTTTGTTGAAATTTAATTGATATAGTTGTTCAAATAAATATGTTTAGAAAACAGTAACTATAATTGTTTAAAGGTATATTCGAATAATTTCGTGCGTATATACCTCGCACGATTAATGAACGTGTTTTTTGTTGGTTATTTTATAAAAAATTTATTATCGTAAACTTTTGTTACTATAAAAACGTTAGATTTTGAATTACATTCAAAGGGTCTCGCCGCTAACTAATATTACGGTCTCATGGGAATTAAAATATTATAATATTATATTAATACTAGAAAATTTGGGTGTAAATTGAAAGCTTCAAATATAATTAGGACATATAATTTAATACACAAATATATATCCTCTCCTTTATCAATCTAAATCATATAATATTGTTTCACAATTCGTAGTGTTCGAATAAACATTGTTTCTAGTGGAAAATGACATAATAATTTTAAAATGTAAATCAGTGCATCTCAAATCATATAATAAATTTAATATATGGTGCCCGCCAATAGAAACAAACATTCTAACCTACCAAGTAATTGATATTAAGCACGCGGTACAATGTATTTGGACATACTTAGTTTAGTGTGTGTTTAACTCTGTGTTTTAATTATATATACACTCTGTTAAATACTTCGATTAGATTCATAGCGACGCTATCCGTAGAAATTATATGATACCATTTGTTATTGATTAAAGCTAATTTTTTAACTAATCATTTTTTTATTTATTTCAAAAAAAATATCTCATATGTGAATATACATATCTATAAAACAATGTTTTGGTGACATTTATTTCCACAGTCCATTTCTGTATCTCTATTTTGACATTTTTTTTTGTCATGTTTGATTGAAGGAAACATTTATCCGAAAATTAAAACAATTTGATATATCCATCTAAATTTTTATTAATTTAGATTATTTTTATTATTTTAAAATCTAAATAAAATCTCTATTTTTTGGAGAGAAAAATGTTCATACAGCTTTTATATTTTTAATTCATTCATTTCAACTCTAATATATAAATTATTTACAATAAATTATTTTATTTAAATTTCAACATTTTAAGATTTGTAAAATAGATAAATTTATAAATAATGAAATTTTAAATGTAAACTTTTCTTTCTAAAATTTATATATAAAAAAAAATCAGGATGATACCCGTTTGTTATGGGCTTAATTTATGATGGCAAGAAGCCTTTGGGCTTTTCTTATGCACCCATGCCCACGAACTTCCAACATGGTCGTTTGTACAAAGTTGAAGAAATTAAGAAAATCGGTCTTTCCCCATAAATTATAATATGTTCAAATTAAAAAAAAATTAAAACTTTTAATATTATCGTGTACCATTTCTCGGTTTGCGTAACATGAATGCTTTTTAAAAAGTAAAAAAAAAATTACAAGAATAATGGAATTAAAATCGGAAGGAAATCCAATACGTAATGTTTTTTTTTTTGTCAAACCAAGAAGTTCACTTAGGCATTTGGTCCAATCTACATCTCCCTGGGTTCGGTAGCAGCCTTTGAACACACAGCCTTTGACTATGCCTCTCCCTCCCCGCATGCGTGGATTCGAACCCTGATCTGGAGGAGGAACACCCTCACTTCCAGTCCAGATACCACTCGACCACAGACATATGGGTAATACGTAATGTTTTAATAACAACATGGCTACATCTACATTACACGAAATATACAATAGTTTTTTTTTAAAATTGCAGTGAATGAACGGGTATTCAAAAGGCAACGAGGATATTATTTCAATCATTTTGTCGAAATCCAATCGTGTTGGAAACGTGCCTTCTATTATTTTACCAAGTTTTTTTGTCGGCAGTTGATCCATGTGTTTCGAATCAATGTATCTGTCACGGTTGATTTGATATGATATATTTTGTGTTCGTTTAATTTAATTCATATTTATTAGACTATAAATTAAGTGCTTCATACCACCAAGATTCAAAACACGTTAGACAAATATTATAAAATAAAAAATATTATTTTCCTCGTGCGCTTTTTTGGATTATCGTGGATACGGAAGATTTTGGTAGACAACCAAAAGAGCAAATGTATATTTGTTTATTCCATGGTATCTGCAACTGATTATTTTGTTTTTCATCTCTTCTATAAAGTTCTGTAAACACGTTTGTTCAATACAGCAGGGGAAAAAAATATTATATATATTAAAAATAAAAATAAAAATATTTTACAGTTGCCAAATGTATAAAAAGAGGCCAAATGTATATGTAAAAATATTATATATATATGTTGCAATAATTGCAGGGGAAAAAACGAAAGTTGTCCAATATTTTGATTTAAGATGTTGAAATTTTAATAAAATTAGCGAAATTATAAATATAAATTAATATACTAATTGGAAGTGGAAAATAGTTCCATTCAAAGACAAGTTTCGGGGCATTATCAAAAATACTCTTACTTTGCTATTTCTACTTCAAGAACTACCCTTGTGACCATGTGACCAATGTGACCGAAATATAGTGTGGTCACATATTGATCTCATTGTTCATAACATTAAATTTATGATATTTTAATCAAATGATTAGTAAGATATACAAGGTATGAACATAATGAATTAATGTGATCACCATAAATTTAACGTTATAATCGATAAAATCAAAATGTGACCATACTATATTTCGGTCACATTGGTCATATGGTCACAAGGGTAGTTCTTGAAGTAGAAATAACAAATTAAGGATATTTTTGATATAATGACAGTTTCTTTTCAATGGGTATGATGTTATATTATTCACGATTTATTTTTTTGCGGAGACGGACGTAATATTCTATTATATAGTTACGATACAAATGAATAAAGTTTAATAATAAAATTAAAAAGACGTCAATAATAGTTTTTTTTTTCAATATTACTTTTCTTGGTCTTCAAGGGAATAATAGTTTTCCTTTTTGCATGTGGGTCAATTTTATCAAGAAATAATAATTTTTAAAAGGAAAATTATTAAGATCGACGAGACATTTGGTGGGTTATCATGATGACGCACGTAGGGTCCTCATTCATATAGCCATTATTAAGCAAAATATCCAAAATACCCTCATTTTTTCTAAAACTATTTTTTTCCATACCCTTTTCAATTTGTGACCTTTTGATCCGAATAATTGTATGGTCATATTGATCACAATGTTAAATTTTTAATGATTTTACAAAATATTTAGCGTGATATGTAAGGTGTGACCATGGTGATTTGGTAAAATCATCAAAAATTTAACATTGTGACCAATGTGACCATCATATGATTATACAATTATTCTATTAAAAAAATCACAAGTTGAGAAAAGTATGTCCATGAGTAGTTTTAGCAAAAAGAAAGTATTTTGGATAATATCCCTCGTTATTATGCTTCTTTTTATGAATAGTACCACAACTGTAAGGTCTCGTCTCACAACGGCAAGGTCTCGATGATGATGATGATGACGCAATAAAAAAAGATATATCAATACCATGTGAATATCTCTTATTATTCGTTTTATCAAAGGAAAATTTTTACATAAAGATGATATCATTTATCATAAGATAAAAAATTTGCAAATAATAATTACAAAAAAGGTTATTATTTGCATACACACAAATAGAGTAAAAAAAAAATACAAAAAAGGAAGAGTAAAATAATAAATAATTACTCCAAGGAGGAGGAGGGAGCAGTGGTGAGAGAGGCTTGAATCTCTTCGAGCGTGAGTCCTTTGGTTTCCGGCACGAGCCTCCATATGAATACAAACGATGCTCCGCATATTACCGAAAATATATAAAATGTTCCTGTTTATTTTACCACAATCATATATAAATTTAATTATATGGAATTTATAATTATAATAATATTTTTGTATAAAAAAAAGGACAAGAAGAAGAGGAGGAAGGACCTTGAGTGCTCCATTCGAACATGAAGTTGAAAGTGTAAGTAACGAGCCAACTGCTTATCCATGAGGTTAAGGTTACTATACTCCCTGCCGTTACTTTTATATTTATTGGAAATATCTGCAAGCCCCAAATTAAAATCCAAAATTAGTATTATATATTATAATTATATAAAAAATTATTTATTAAATTAGTTTTTAATTTTGTTTAGAAAATTACCTCGGACATAATGATCCATGGGAGCCCTCCCACGCCTACTGCAAATGTAGCGATATATACCTATATAATAGGAAAATGGAAAAACCATTCCAAAATTCATAAGTTATGAAATATCATTTACATTTATGAACATTTAAATTTTTTCATCTTTTAATCTATTAACAATATTTATTTTCTCAAAATTTCTCTTTGCCATTTTTTTTATTTGCAATATAACTACTATTTAAACATAAAATTTATATATTAACCCTATATTTTAACAGTTCATTGGTTTTCCAGTACCAAAACTTTATGATTTTTTGGTTTTTTCTAAAACTATTTAAATATAAAAAATATAAAAATAAAGTTGAATACTTACCAGGACACAGAGAAACGTGAATAAAGGAGTAAGTTCCGGCAAAAGCTGAAATTTCTGTTCATTTTGATGATAAAAAAAATCATAAATGAGCAAATCTATATATTAGATATAAAAAAAATACGAACCACACAAATTTAAAAAAAAAAATATCTCGTGAAAATTTAAATAAAATCCAAGCATGGAAAATGTAATAACCTGTAAGGCGAAGGAAGCCCCCAAGAGCATGGAACTTATGCACATCCCAGCACCAGAAGCCTACCATATAATATAACCCACAAAAAAATAATTATTATTCTTGTAAAGTTTCTAAATATATATATATATAATCTCTGATTTTATTTTAGATAAAAAATGTTTATTTTATGCATTTATCAAATTCATTTTAATTTGAAAAAAGTAAAAAGGTTCTGACCAAAAGGAGAGGTCGTCTTCCCCAGCTATCCACAAGGATGAGGCCGATCATGGCTTTTGGTATCTGCGAAAGGCCAAGAACAAAAAATTATAATTAGAGAATATTAAGGAGATTAAATTAATCAATTAATTTCATGGGATGTAATAAGTATATTATGGACCAAGCAAATACCATGAAAAGACCTAATATCGTTGACCCAATTGTCACTGAAAATCCTGTTTCAATAAAACAAAAAAAAAGATTTATAGTTAATGCGTCATTAATTCTTCGGTTACTCGTTGTTAGTCCATTAATTGTGATTAATATGATTTTGATAATAATAATAATAATAATAATAATAATAATACAAAATAGTTATTATTTTTATTACCAGCTTTTCTGAAGATTGTGCTTGCATAAAAAATCACTCCGGCACTTCCTGAGAATTGTTGTATCAGCATCAACCCGATTCCCACCTGAAAATTAAGTGATAATCTCATAAATAAATATAATTACATAACCAAAGCTGCATTTTTTTAAAAATAATTCTAAAAACTGTGTATACCATGAGAGTGCGTCTATATTTCTTCTGGAATAAATCAGAAAAATCCGATTTCGAGTCTTGTTCCAATATTTCTGTTATAGCCTGTAAAAAAATAAAAATCGAAATAATCAGCTGTGCAAATATATTATTATTATTATTATTATTATTATTATTATTATTATTATTATTATAAATAAATTTTAAAAATTACTCGGATTTCCGTGGCTTCGCGTGAAACATCAACATCTCTTCCTCTGAGCCGATGTAGACAACTTTCGACTTCTTTATCGGTGCCTATTTTTGCCTGGAAAAATATTTAAACCTTTTAAAATTTAAACATCATATTATTCTTAAAATAAATGTTTATTTATGTGTGTGTATATATATATATATATATATATTAAATACAAACCAGCCATCTTGGAGACTCCGGTATATAAAACAGCCCGACGGCTTGAACTAAGCATGGTATAGCCCCTAAACCATGATTAAAAAAAATAATTAAATCAATTAATCCGTAACACAATGTGAGGATTCTGATATTTTGAAAAAAATAAATACAAAACGACATTTCTTATGTGAAATTAACGAAAATAAACATTACCTATAATGGCCAGCGTTCTCCAGTTAATGAAATTCCCAAAGAAATAAATCATGGCAATTCCGCAATTTTGAAGGAGCTGTCAATCGAGAAAGTAAAGGTTAATTTTAATTATAAAAATAACATAATAAAATAAAACAAAACAAAATAAAATGCTATTTCTTTTATCTTGAAATTATACCTGGTTGGAAAACACAAACGCACCACGCATATGCTTGGGGGTAATTTCCGCTATATACACAGGAACCTGAAATAATATTTTTATTATTTAAATTAATTACTTTAATAATAATAATAATAATAATTAAAGTAGCGGTAACTGTGATTAAATTTGTAATTACCACGTAGCTAATCAAGCCGACTCCAATGCCCGATGATATTCTCCCGAAATCCAGCCATAGGACATCCTTTTTTACCAAGATATAAATTAAATTATTTACTAATTATTTTTTTGTATAAATAATAAATTTAATCACAGATAAAATCATGATTAGAAAGATGATTGAAGGCGTTTGAGACAATACCTTCGCGAAAGCTATGGAGAGCCAACCCATGATACAGAATAAATCCGACACCCACATTGTCTTTATTCATAAAAAAAAAGTAAGATTTAATAATTACGTAGAAACCAATACATAAATATTTGAAAAGACATAAATAATAAAATAAATAAATAAAGCTTGAGGGTAAATAAGTAATTACGCCTCTTCTGCCGAGGATGATGGCCATTTTGCCACTGAACAGCGCCCCGACCGCTGCTCCCAGCGTTGAGAACGCACCAAACGCCGAAAACTAACATAACAACAAAAAAAACATTGAGTTATTATTATTATTAGGGAAAAAACCCTAAAAATTCCTGAACTTATATTTTGGAGTAATATTAATTCCTAAACTTGTACAAGTGTCTATTAATTCTCAAACTTGCAAAATTGAACACGTTAAATCCTGAACTTGTTAAACGGTTCCATATTCGTCCACATCATTATTTGGTCAAAAAAACGAGTTGACCGATCCGACGTGGCACGTGACGTGG